TTTTTCTGTGTTTGTGTACAGGTAGAGGCCTTGCGACTAGCTGATCACTCACCCAAGGAGTCCTACCGTATGTGTAAGATCTAGAAAAACCGAAGTGAACGGAAGTTCATGGAGGTAGGCCTAGGCCCACTGGGGCTGTAGTGCCAAGAAAAATAGCGGTATAATTGCCTGTAATCCCGGACTGTGTAAATGTACAAGTGTCAATAAATCCAATCATCCAATCATCCAATCCAGAACCCTCTTACAAGTCACACAAACCCCCTAAATCGTGGCAATATGAAATATACGAGTACGAGTACGAATAGTGAGGTTGGTATGTATTTTAAAGCAAGGGCCTAAGTTCATTTTACAGAAGGAAAACTAGTGCATTGCAGTTCTAACTAACTATATATTCACAAGTATCGCAATTGCAACATAGTCTCATTAAATGAGTAATGAAATTTCTTCTGTTTCCTGCACGTAATTAGCTGATATAATAATCAGGTACAAGAGTGGTTCCCAACATGTGGGTTGCGGACCGGTGGGGGCCACTAAATTATTCAGTGGTGTCCGCGCGTATATATGTATATATAATGTCACGTGATTTAATGACTATAGACGGGTTTTGGATTGATAATCGGATTTATCTAAATCTTACAATTCATAACTACAAGTAAAGATTATGTTCTCACTGTTCTACACGCTTCACAAATCACTATAGGACACACCAGATGACATACTTGAACAATTACAAAGCATCGAAATATAGGTTCGTGAAAACTCCCACAGGACTAGCTTAGAAACACTTTCGTAAGTGGTAATAATGCTTTAATCACAGAAACAAGACAGCCTAACAGAATTTTCGTGTGACACCTCTTTAAAGCTTGTCTTCGCACAAAGACACCTAAGTTGGTTTCTTGTTGCATATTCGTTCTGAATATCCAAAACTGGCTGATAAGGCTGCGAAATTCCTTTTAACTTCATACACAATATTTATTTGTGGAAATTGATTTTCTGCATTTGTTTCATTGAAATGTAAGTATCGAAACAAGTCGAATGTGGAACCAGACTGAAAATTATATCGCTACAAGATATCCAATCTCTGAAACAACACCAACCATCTCATTAAGTGACTCAGTACAAATATGCAAATATACCTTCTGCCGACTTGCTCGTTTTGTCTCATACAAATGCCACAACGTTTCAAATACATTTATTTGTTGTGACGTGAATTAATTTACAGCGGTTGCTGAATTCGTAACAATCTTTTCGTTATTATGTATTTTCTCAAGTGATGAAGCCTAAAACTACAATTATTAAAGTGCATTTTTGAAATAGACTGCTAATACTCGAAAGGTTTAGAACATGAGCATTAGAATTATAGATTAAAGATCTTCAAGCCACAGCAACAGAGTATAAACTACCTGCCTCAATATTAACAAGATTTTTCATTCATCAGGCAATAATTTTGATATCACTTTATATCGTGTCTCTTTCTTCGGAGGTAAAGCTGCCGGAGCTACCTCCAACTAGTACCGAGGTCAAGAAAACGTGGATCTATACATCCATTCCCCCATACATCTTCATTGTGTAGTGCTTAATTAGTTACGCACAGATGCAGCTTTACCCATTTTTATAGTAATTCGCAAACCCTACACGTTGATGTAGAGGTTGGCTCTCTAGACTGGTACTGAGCTGTTTGGTTCGAATCTCGGTTGGGACCTCTTCCTTACAAATCTGTTACAGTCCTAATCATCAATCATCCCTTTGTAGTCTGAGATACTGACAATGTCGTAAAGCAGATCGCAAAAATAAAGTAATTCGCTGCCCACAGTAAGAATGAAGCGGAGATGCTCGTGACTTCCGGATGGCTGGGTTTAACGGTGCAGCCATAGCATTATAACATGGCCTCACCTGGGTCTGAATCCCGCCTTTCCCAGCCTCTACATCGACCATTATTCCGTCTCCACGGAGAACTTACATTTTCAGTTAATCTAACAGAAGAAAGGCCATCTAACGAGTAGGTGACATGACTGACAAAGGCTTACTGTAGATGCAGCAGAATACGTATTTCTCTTGAGGCGAAACCTTGCGGGCTAAGTTCGATAGGAATGAAAACATCGGCTGGAAGCGAAGCGTTGTCCTGTTTTAAAATTAATCGGCTTCTTCAGGTTTCTCTTGATTTTTCTACAATCGGCAGCTCATTACCTCTAGATTCTTACACGGTTCTTAAGACGCATGTACCAAAATCGTCCAATGCAGCGGTAATATATTGTGACATATAGGATGTTAATAGAGGAATGTACTTAAACATTCTCACGGCAACGAACACAGGCAACAATAGAAGAACTGCCGTCTCTATGCGACGACCGTTAAACATCCCCTTTAAGAACATTAAAAGAATATAGTGGAAACTATGTTTTCTATGTGGTCCGCGCCAAGCAAACGCATGGAAAAATAGGATGTTTATTGCCATGCAGCGAAGCTGTAAATAGTCATCCTTAACGAAAGAAGACGGTGTTTTCCTTGGGGTCCTTGCAGATGAGTTATTTTTTAAGACAATCGACGCTACGAGTCACACCCTTGTGGAGGCGAGTCGTAGGAGGCGACGAAAAGGGAAGTCTCAAATCTGAGACGGTAAATTATGGTCACGAATCCCAGGGGACTCGAACCTGAAAAAGACTACGCTGGCAAGGACCAGCAGCATATACAAAATACAGACCCATCCTCTCGTCAGAGAGGGCGCCCCACGAAAACTAGACTGTATTTGATTTTGACTTGCTACGAGTCAGTCAGTTCTCGGTAAGAGAGAGCCACGGGGAGTTCAGAGTTGAAGAAGAATTAGAAGTCGGCCTGTGGAGACTTAACGTGTGCTGTAGTGCAGTGATATCTGGAGTGTGACTGTTATAGTTTCTCAGTTAAAATCCGTTGCCAGGAACGGATAGGGAAAACTTTGCAGAGGAATAGCCATTGTTTAGGTCTTGTTACCTAGAAACGACTAGTGTAAACAATATAGAAGACTTTATGTCTTATGATTACAGTAAACTTGGAAGTGTTATAATTAATTGTAGTTATGACCTGCAATTTGTCAGTAAATCCAATTACCAATCCGAACCCCGTCTTTAGTCACCGATACACCTTACAATATGTATGTTTGTGCGTTTTGGATTTGTGAATGGACATTTCGTTCTTGCGAGGTTTGGTATCTTTTTTTTTTTTTCTTGCTGATCTCTTGAACCGTTTTCATCGGAACTGCGTGTACCGTAGCGGTCTTCTAAACGTACTTCTGAAGAAGAATAATGAGGTCGTCTTCAGTCTGGTTCTTATTCTCAAATTTTACAGCCTTTCTCACAGTTTGTTCGTGTATAAGCCAATGCTGTATAAGGAAAATTCTTTTTGTACGGTTTTACCTTTTCTCCGTGTGTTTTTCTCCGCTTTTTGTGTGATTGCCAGATGATCATAAAAGATCTATAGTTCAAAAGCAGTATGCGTTTACGGCCTATCTGTTCCATTGGTTGACAGTCGTGTAATTCAGAAAACGAACACTATACGACACCACAGTAATACATATAAAAGGTAGGTAAACGGGACACCCTTTACGCCGTAGCCCCTTTTCCGAGGAAAATGTAGCTTAACGCGAAAATTCCTGAAGCGCAGCCGTCCGGCACCCATCCTCGAAAATCCGTGTTAGAAATAAGGACTTTCTACTTTCTTGAGCGGACATTTTTCAATGACGTTATTGGTTATTGTGACTTTTATAAGTTAGGAGAGGGATAAATTATGGGGGATTTGTTATTCAGTTTATAAATTTTTTATCCTACCATCTACGAGTACTTTCCAAAACGCTGACGACCACGATATATAAATGAATTACTTTGCTGATTGTTTTGAATGGGTGTGAAACGTGTTATTTTACATTAAATGTCCCAATACAGTGTTCCTGAGAAAATATATGGACCTAATAAGGATGAGCCGGTCACGGTGGCCGAGCGCTCTAAGGCATGCACTGTCTTCGCTCGCTCGGAAACCGGGATCGTGGGTTCGAATCCCACTCAGGGCATGGATGTTTGTGTGTGTTTTTCTGTGTTTGTCTACAGGTAGAGGCCTTGCGACGAGCTGATCACCCGCCCAAGGAGTCCTACCGAATGTTTAAGATCTAGAAAAACCGAAGTGAACGGAGAAGTTCATGGAGGTAGGCCTAGGCGCGCTGGGGCTGTAGTGCCAAGGAAAAAAAAAGGATGAAGCAAATCAGAAATTTAGGATATTACATTAAGAGGAACGTTGAGATTTATACAGATCGCCTGGCATTGGTAGAATAGCAACATTTAGGAGGATACAGTGGGCTGAGCATGCGAGTAGGTAGGAAAAGACGAGGAATGCGTAGGGGATTTACGCGGCGTCTAATTACAGGCCGATTCTGATGACTTAAGTACACAATATAGTGCCAAAAGCAAATTACTTGATGATCGATGATTATGAATGGATTGAAAAGAATGTGGGGGTACACGGTAGCGTAGTTGGTTGAGGAACTATGCTACAAGCCAGAAGGTCGAGTGTTCAAGTCCCGATTAGGTGGATTTTTGCAATTTACCTAATCCTTCCAGCCGCACTATGGCCCTGTGGTCGACTCAGCCTCTTAACAGAAATGAATACCAGGAATCTTCCTGGGGAATAAAGGGCGGCCGGCGCGTAAGGCTGACAAACTTACCGCCATCTGTGAGCCGATTTTCTAGAGAATATGTGTGAGCCTCGACATCTCACAATCCTATTGGCCTGTTACAGGGATAGCTTTACCTTTTTTTGAAATGAATGTGACTAGTTTTTAAGGTATATTTTTAGCATTTTCCCCTGTACAGAAGAGAAACAAATCACGAAAAAACCTTAACCAGGGCATCAGATCCCAAGGTGAAGATTTAAACAGTGTAACTCCTGAAAACAAAGCAATTAGTGTAAACCATTATACCATGACGCTGCGTCGCATATGTTAAGAGTTACTGACATGTTTTATTTTATATTTACAGATGAATCACGACACTGGCCTCACCCAAGAAGTTGTAGTAGATCTACCGGAAGCGACATCGAAATGCATCAAGATCGACTCTTGCGAAGAAGACAGGATAGATAAATGTTATCTGTTGCAATAAATACAAGGAGCCGGTCCTTCGTTTTGCTTGGAATCCGGTTACAGAACAATAAAATGTTATCTAATGGTTAGTGAAGGATCTAGAAATAAAACACAACAACTTGATGGGCTCTGTAACATGGCGACAAAAAATGTCGGGCAAGCAGAATGAACTAGAACAAAATCTGAGATGTTAAGTTGCTTTCTGTGTTCATAATGCAGGTACAGCGGAAATTCCTATTCGGTTAAAACAGAAGATAAAGAAGTTGTGGTCTGACGACAAAAAGAAAAACCCTCTGGAGCTCTACTGTGTGTTCCGATCTACAGATAGAGCAGAAGAAAACGCGTGTCTGACTGCTTCGAAGTTACAGGAGACGGAAATGACGTTTTACGTCCATCTCAGTGACCACTTCCTTCTTATTATTAGTAGCTGACTCCATTGCTGCTTTCCTCATTTTGTTTTTCTTCTTTGGAAGATATAACTTTCCACTGGGAACAAAGCAAGGTTGTAGGGAAATAAGAGACAGAAGGTGTTTTATTACCAAATCTAGTCAAATACAGATTAATCGAATTAATGCAAGCTTAATGAGCAGCACAGTGAGTGGCAACTTGCCTTCAAACGCGATTTTTAAAAGGTAATAGAAGAGTGGAAGTAGAAAATCCAATAACAGCTAAATGTCAATGAAAATAATTCATATGTGAAGGGGTGTCCAAACAGTTACTTGCACAACTATGAAATTAGCAAAGCCAATGCACTAAAAGCGATTAATGCATTCTGTTTAAGTACGTGCATAGTGGTGACAGTGCACCAGCCTCTGAATGCTTCACATGATTATTCATTGTACCAAAGCATCATTTACATAAATCCATTTTTTATTAATTAATTTAATACGAAGAGTAGTGAACGGAAGGAATAATTTTTCGTCGCTTTTTAAATCGAAGGAAAATGGATGAATTTATCTCCACTACGAAGGATTTACTATCAAGAGTCGATGCGAAATATGGAGATAATAGAAATGTGAAGTTGAAATAAGTTCAGGAGTGCGAGTGGTTTGTGGGCAGTGCAACAATGACTCAGCAACAGCAGCCACTGATGTTATGTCAAGATGGCGGCGGTGGTGTTGTGGCGGGCTCAGCTGGATCCACTAGTATATGTGGAAAAGATTTTCGAGAACGCACCCTTCGTTCACTAAAATTATCACTGGGAAAGTTATGGAAGCGGAGATCAGTCACTATTACTGAATACGACCCTACCTACAAGGTGGCGTACCTCGGAAACGTGCTGACAGGATGGGCCAAAGGTAAGTTCCTCGTTATTTCTTAGACAGTGTGAAACACACCTTTCAGCAGTGTGCTGTAAAACAGAATGTTGCTAATGAATATTGCCTTAATTATGGATATGTGAAAGCGTTATTAAGCACGAGCAGATACGCAAGCCGATCACAGTAGCCGCGCATGAAATGTCTTCGTCTACTGGGGTCGTGGTTTCGAATCTCACAGGAGGCATGGATGCCTGAGTTTATTATGTGTTTGTGTTGTTCTGTGTATGTAGCGGCCTTGTGACGGGCTGATCCCCAGTCCAAGGACTCCTACCGACTGTTTTTAAGATTAAGAAACTTAAAGAAGCGACCAGGACCCAAACTGGGCTGTAGAGCCGTCAGTACACTGACTGACTGACGTGGGTTCGATTTTCTACAGGGGAAGGTTATTACACTGTCACATGTTTATGGCTGCGTGACTAATAATAACGGGTTTTGGATTGGATTCATTAACACCTTCTTGTACAATCTTTCGTGATTACAATCAATTACTGCCTAAGACTTGCTCCATTCTGACCGGACTACGACTGGCTTCTCAAAGCCGAAGTCACATTGCGACTGACAGTCAGTCACTATGTCTTGGTGTCGAGGCCCATGTGGGGCTTGTGACCAGATATTATATTACTGCTTGACGGTTACGGTCTTGTTTTGTGGGGCGCCCTCTTTGATCAGAGGACGGGTTTGCCTTTTGTATATGCTGCTGGCCCTTGCATGCGGTCTTTCTTGGGTCCGAGTCCCTTGCTACTCGCGACCATATTTCACTGTCTCAGATTTGAGACTTCCCTTTTCGTCGCCTCCTGCGACTTGCAGCGTCAAGGTGGAAGCATTCGACCCCGCCTCCACATGGGTTACTGAAGAGTCGAAGTCACATTGCGACTGGCTCTTATATAGTACATCGGTATCCAAGAAATGTTTGCTGGTCATTCGTATCCATGGAAATGTGTTCCATAACGAATAGGTTTCCAAGAATCCATCTCCACGGAAACGTGTTTGTAAACTCGTTTCCTAGAAATGGGTCTACATGTTACAATACCTACTCCATCACACCACGATCATCTCTGGGGTCCTCCCAGTCGGCATGCAAAGCGTAACGGGGTTCCGGGGGTCTCTTTATCCGGCCGGAGCTTGAAGCTGCCGAGGTTAAGAAGGACCTGATGAGTACCTTCATTCCCCACATGCCTTCATGTCATAGTGCTTAAGCACACCGACAACTGCCTTCTAAATAGGTCCAGTTCTGAGCGTAGAGAACAAAAGAATTATGTGCAGTCAGTGAACCGAAACCATCGGCAACTTGGCTGTAATGCACCGTGCATCTAAATCCAGCAAGGTATGACAAGACAGTGCTTTCGTCTTTTACTTTGGTTTCATCCGAGTGGGCTTGACGTCACATATTTGTATCATTTCTAAAATCTGTGTTCGTTTTCCCATGAGAAATAAGTTCTGTACATCAAGTGAAATCCCGTCAAATAAAGAACAAGGAATGCAAGTTTTTTTCTCTCTCTCGCTCCTACTTTGGAGCATAGGGCTGATTTCTCAGTTTCATTGATCATTTTTACAGACGGTAGGACTCCTTGGACGGATGATCAGTTCATCGCAAGGCCTCTACATAAACACAGGACAACACAAACAGAATAAACACATATACACACAAAACATCCATGCCGTGTGTGGGATTTGAACCCACGATCCCGGCTTCCGAGCGAGAGAAGACAGTGAGTGCATACCTTAGACCGCTCGGCTACCGTGACCGGCATGACTTTACATGAAATGATTTTTGCGACAGCATTATGTTCTCTAAACCAGGGAAATTTTATAGCCTACATGGACCTTCATGTTATGATATGAACGAATGTTTCTTCTCCTCACGGACTCGAACGTGAAAATGTAACTTCTTGCTATAGTGCACAGTGATATCTGCGGATTGTCGGCAGAGGTAGGCTACCCGCATTCATGAGTCCTAACCCTTTAAAGCTGAGTGGTTCTATATGCAGTATATACCAACTGCTTTAACATACTAAAATTCTGGATTCTATTCACAGAGTGTACTTGTATGTGTATGTTACATAAGCTTCTCACAATACGTAGCGATTGTTTTCCTCAACACCACTAACTGGTTGATTTTTGTGGCGGAGCCGTAAGATTGTTTCCTGAGAGGTACGAACTGATTTCTTTATGTATTATTTGGAAGACATTCAGTCCTTAAAACACGGACAGATCTGAAGCGATCTGAAGGCTCCCAGAGCCGTCAGAATATAAAATATGGTCATGAGCTCTGTGAAACTTGGAGAGAAGAATCATTGTGCTGACGAGGGCCATCAGCAGTTTAAGAGTCAATTAGTCGGTACATAAAGGGTTAAAGCAGTGAAACTGAAATGTTATTTTATGGCGGCAATACGTGGCTTAGCTCAAGTTAAAGATCCTCAACTACCAATAAAACCTCCGTCGAGTGTAACAATATATATTCTTGTCACCATTTCCTCACATTTGCCTTACATGTTTCGGCTCACAAAGAGCCATCATCAGAGGCATCCACAACAAAAGAATATATACAAGAATATATATTGTTACACTCGACGGAGGTTTTATTGGTAGTTGGTGATTGATAGTGTAACGGACCAAAATGAAACAATTCAAAATATTAAAGATCCTATTTTACGCTGTGCACATTTTTAACTTTCTTGGTTGTAGTTACTCGTGGGCATTCAAGACAATCGAAGGATTTATTTGCATACAATTACCTCCACGAATAGTTCCCACTTTCCTTATATCATAGCAACTCACCTTAAATGTGGATTATAAGCCTGCAATAGAAACTATAATCATCTGAATGTGAAAGTTATGTTTTCAGAAGATAAAGTTTCTCGTGATTGGTGCCAAGTTGTTTCTGCTACCTTACCCTTTTAATTGCACTAAATGTTTTGCAATTGCGGTCTCCTGGTAATGTCCCTGTGTCATTCGGATGGAGTAAGGGGTCGCTCAGGGGCCGCGCCATAGCTCAGGCGGTTAGTCGCTGGCTTACCACCGCGGCGGCCTGGGTTCGATTTGTGGTGGACAAAGTGGCGCTGGGGCAGGTTTTCTCCAAGTACTTCAGTTTCCCCTTCCAATCTTCATTCCACAAATTGCTCAACAATCACCCTCGCCTATCATCTGGGGCTGGTACAATAGGCCAGAAGTTGCCGCAGTACAGGGGACTTAGTCCCACCCCACTAGCAATAAAAAAGGGGGGGTCTGTCATGTGGCCATGCCATAGCTCAGGCAGTTAGTCACCAGTTTCCCACCGCGGCGGCCCGGGTTCGAATACGGGTAAGGTCATGTGTGATTTATGGTAGATAAAGTGGAACTGCGGCAGATTTTCTCCGAGTACAATGTTTTCCCCTGCCAGTTCGCATTCCACCGATTGCTCAACAGTCATCATCATCTATCATCTGAGGCTGGGTGGCCGCAGTACCAAGTACCCTGTGAGAAAAAAAAAAGGGGGGTGGGGCGCTCATCGATGAAAGGAGTGAACTTCCAGGCAACATCTGTCCCCTTCCACTTTCCTTGACAAGTTTGCAGTATAACAAAAAAAGCGAATTGTGAGAAGGAATTAAATCCCGTGTCAAAGAGAATGAAAAGAGAGGATTCCACAATGCGGGGCCGAACTTTGCAGTTTGTCAGTCTTATGTGCGGCTTCTTTATACAATTCGATGAACGATTTATTATATACATGAGAAAGTCCATACATTGTCTTATGTAAACTGGACTTTATTATGGGTCAATATGGGAATGAAATGACAGTTTTTTTTTGTGAAAGTCGCCCTAATCAAATAAAAAAAGAAGTCAAGGGTTTAGTCGCGGCTACTAGTTCACAGTCAGACTGAAGGACATGACCGACACATGGGATGTTATTTTTATTTATAAAGAATATCTAAAACGTTGCATTCAAGGAAAATCCTCTCGCTGCTAATGCTAATTTATTTTCTGTCAGTTTCTCCAAGACTGTGGACATAAGGAAGTTATGATATATGTTCTCCTGAAGCAGAGAGTGATAGGCATTCCTGGTCTGTTACATATTAGTGGGGTAAAAATCAAGAACGATCATATGGAAGGTACATGCAGCATGCAAGAGGGGGATATAAAAGTATAGTGGCAAAATCCGCGGAAGAACCCCTAGGGACCCAAGTCTCAAATGGGGGGATAATATTAATGCTCTGATATATTGGATTTTTGGACTTCATCCATCGTCCTGGTTTTTAAGATAAATAAAAACACGACGTTTCGGAAACTGGATCTGTTTCCGTCCTCAGGTGAAGGAAAACACCTATTCTGTTGGGTCCGTTAGAAAGAGCTAGCCTCAATCACTGGACAAACCGATGTCACAAAACATGAAGATTATAAACACCTGAGACCAGGCTAAGTCCATGAGAGCTAATAAGAAAAATATTCATAATAAATTGTTGCAAACACATACAAGCGTGGAACCAGGATAGTTTCCGAAACGTCGTGTTTTTATTTATCTTAAAAACCAGGACGATGGATAAAGTCCAAAAATCCAATATATCAGTGTGTTATACACCATCGTCATAATCCTATAGTAACTAATATTAATGCTGATCCTAAAACAATTGGTTCTGGGTGAAATAATAGAGCCTCCTTCCATGTTCTATATATCTGGTCCTGCATATCTTCTGTTAATATCTTCTTTAGATTATGTAAATCTGTAGCAATACAAGAGAATGCTTTTTACCCCATGGCTGGATTCGTGCGCGTGAAAAACGCTCGAATCCTCATACAGCATTTTTTTTTTGTTGCTTGCCGTTTTAGAAGGGCTTACAGATTACTGCTTTTGCTGGTGATATTATTATTATTATTATTGTCATTATTGTTATTATTGTTGTTGCTTTCTCGGCACAGTATGGGCATAATGCTTAAGGCAGCAGTTCTCAAACTTTGTGATACTGTGGTGCCCTCAAATAATCCATATATTACGTAACCCTCATCTT